TTTATCATTCATTGATTTATAATTTTTTTTGTATATTTTATTATATTTAATAAAATTTATTATTTAGTGATTATAATTACAAAATAGATTTTATATTTAAATAATAAATAATTGTTAAAATTTTTAATGATAATATAAAAATAATTTATTTATATTATTTGTAATTATTAATGCAATTAAGAAATATAAATTCATAATATTAATTATTAAAGAATATCGATAATTTTTAAGAAAAAAATAAGATAGAACTGTACCATTTGTCAATGAAATAGCTTTTAAAATTAGCATTTGAGTGTATCACCGACGTGAAACATCTTACTAATTGGGATGAGTTGGGTTTTTCCAACACAATCAGCAATAAATAACATGTTGCTAAAAGAAGTGGAGTAACTATTCCCCGGATTGTCAGCAACAAGAGTCTTGTTGCTAAAAGTAGGGGGCTTACTATTCATGAAACTATCAACAACATGTCTCATGTTGTTGAAAGGGTACGAAAATTCAATTTCCCGCTTCCGCCAATTATATTTACTAACATGAGCTACTTTCACCGACGTGACTGATGTTGCTGAAAAGAGTGCACCAGATGGGGGGAGAATTTTGGTAACCATTTTTACCGACATGAGCCACGTCGGTGAAAGTATTCTTTCACCGACGTGGCTTCTGTTGCTGAAAAGAGTGCACCGGATGGGGAGAGAATTTCGGTAACCATTTTTATCAACATGAATTATGTCGATGATATTATGGTTTCAACAACAAGGAGTATGTTGCTAAAAATGGTGAAAACTTTCGGTGGTCGGTCCTGTAAATTTTTTAACAACATGAACAATGTCGGTAAATCTCCATTTTCAACAATAAGAGATATGTTGCTGAAGAAGGTGCCAGGTATCAGCAACATAGACCTTGTTGCTGATACATTACCGAGCATGGCTTCACCAGGAAAGGCATCAGCAACATGGAGCATGTTGCTAGAGTCCTTTCAGCAACATGGGTAGCACCTTCATCGATGTGCTTCTATGTTGCTGAATAATGGAATTTTAGTAGTGTTTA